ACCTACTTAGAACAAGCTCAGCAAAGCACAAGGACCGCGGTTCAATCCCCCAGCACCACATGCCAGCCAGCCCCGCCCCCTGGTGGGCTGAGCTGCACAAACACACACACACACACACACACACACATAAAAATAAATAAATAAAAAAACCAGAAAGCATTACTGTACAGCATCGTCCGCCTGACACCAGGGCACATGCATCAGCGCGGGTGCCCACATATCCCACCCTGTGGCTGTGCATGTCTTCATCCCCGGGACAGCAGAGGCGATGGAGCCCCTGAGCTCACTGTTCCTGGCTCTGAAGGCAGACCCTACAAAGAGGCACAGAGATTCCCTCCTCTTACAGAAAATCAACTGCCCCACGGGGAGGACACGGGACTGGAGGGCTCCACCCACAGACCCCAGGAGGACTTCAGGGCACAGTCCTAGCAGGCTGTAGTCCCCAGACTGGCACAAGGACTCACCTGCTCCTGGGGGGCTGGCACACCACAGGGGGTCACCACCTTCAAAGGAAAAGAAGCAGGTAAGTAAGAGCTCAGCGCAAACAGCCTCCCAGGCAAGGAGGGCCCCAAGTGCAAAGCGCCCCCACCACAGCTGCATTCACAGAGGTGCAGCGCCCTGAGTTCACACGGTGCCATTTTTGCTAACTTTTGCTTTTGGAATCCAGTCTGGTTTTAGGATTTTTTTGTTGTTGCCGTTTTTGCGGAACCGGGGGTTGAACTAAGGACCCTGCACTTGCCAGGCAAGCACTTACTCTACCGAGCCATCTCCCCGGCCCCAAAACCAGTTGAACTGTCTGGTTTTTGTTGTTGTTGTTGTTGTTGTTGTTGTTCTGTTTGTTTGTTTTTGTCATACCATGGATTAAACTCAGGACCTTGTGCTTTATTCTACTAAGCTATCTTCCCAGGCCCTGTTTTTTCATCCCAAAACACACGTCATTCATAGAGACAGAATTTCACCTCGGCTTCAAGAATTGATGGGCTCTGAGATGGAGACTTAAGTCTCTAAGCCTTTCCTCACAGGGGGTGGGGGGAGTTGGGGACAGAGAAGGGGGGGTACTATCCATGCTACCCCAAACTCCCATCCTCACACCCAGGAGCATGGCTTGAACGGCCTGTCTTTTTTGCAACTATTTCTACAAATGGAACTGAAAATAGTCTAAATGTGCTCGCTGCATTCAGCATGTGAGACCATGCAGTGGAGTTCCCTCTACGTCACAGCCCTCTGAAGAACATGGAGTTCATTAAGAAAGACGTATGCAGCTGGGTGTGCTAGCACACACCCACCACACCAGGACCTAAGCCAGGCGGCAAAGGTATCAGGAAGGACTGACCCGGCGGCAATAAGCAGTTATAAGCAGCCCCCCTTCGCCGCTCAGCCTGGCCCGGGCCTCTCCCCCCACACATAGAATTTTGGCCTCGGTTTCCTCATCTGAAAACCAGAGGTGGTAGGTGTGCCTTCCTCACAAGCTAGTTGTGGGGCCTAGGAGGTAGTGTCTGAGCCCGGCAGAGCCCTGGCTCACAGGAATACAGAGCTCTCCCTGAGGAGAAGGGTCTTGTGTGGCTGAAGGATTTGTTTTCTGCTTCTTGGGCGTATGGGGTAGAGCCCAGGCTCCTATGGATGGGATTTCATGCCCCCTGAGCTGCCTCGCTGCCCACTACCTCCCAGCTCCCCCACCTCCAGACCCCTGGCTCGAGTCCAACCCCAGAGAGCTTTCTGAACTTGGGAAAGGAAAGAGAAACCCAGACCTGACTGACCGACCTTGTGGGCCTGAGTGGGTGTCGCCATGACCTTGGTCCTTGCCAAGGCGACTATTTATAGCGCTTGCTTATCTTACTCACTGAAGTTCCTCAGAGAATACAGACTGGCGGCTGTTCATTTGTCTGGGACATGTCATTACTCCACCCCAACTCTGAGTCACACTCCTGCGGGGGACAGGGGTCCTCCCACAGGGCACCCATCCTGCCCTCCAAATGGCTGTCCCTTTCTGCATGCATGGCAGCTGGCACACAGGAACACGTCCTTTTTATTTGTGGGTCCTCAACCCCATGTTAAAGTTTGATGAATGGATGCGAGAGGCGGTAAATATAACATGAAAACTAAAAAATGGCCTTGGAAAGACAGGAAGTTAGACTCTCCTAGGATGATAATGGCTCCGAACAAGGAGACCCCGTGGTTGACACAGAGTGCTGTGATGGGTGTCACCCCAGGTGGCATGTGCCCCGGTGCCTCTGTGTGACACACAGCCAGGAAGTGCGCACAGAACAGAGTTCCTGCCCTGGAAGCATCCTCTGTGCTCTATACAACGCGATGTTATTCCAGGATGAAAATGAATGAGAGGTGAAGGTAGGAAACGGCACAGGGGAGCCACGTTTTCCTCAGTGAAAAGAAGGGAGGCTGTCAGGGTTTGTGTCTCGGTGTCCCTCACCCCCCGCCCCCTGCAGAGCCTCATGCAGTCAACTGGGGAACTGTAGAGTCTGTGATTGATTCATGGTCCAGCGCTGCTGGGATGGTGGTGCCTGCTACACCTGCCCTGGGGCGGATGCCCGAATGTGCTCGCTCTCAGGACGGCAGAGGGCCGCCTCTGCTGCGGCTGCTGCTTCTCCCTTCTCGCTCTTGCTGTCTTGCCCTTTTCTTGCTGTTTTGCCCACCCACTGCTGCCCTCTGCCATGTGGAGCCGGCCGAGTACGCACTGAAACCTCCACAAACTGGGAGCTAAGTAAACCTTTCCTTCCTTCATTCTGGGAGTCGGGCATTTTGGCCCAGCAACGAAATAAAAGTAACTGAGACAGGGGCCCTCTGAGAGGCTGCAGGCAGCGGCCTGTAGGAGTCCACCTGCAGGACCTTCTGGGAAGGCAACTGCAGCTCTAGGTGGCGTCAGAGGCTACCAGGCGCTGAGGGATGCCCAGCCCACGAAGGGATTTGGGGCAGTGAAACTATCCCATATGATACCACGGTGGCGGCCACAGGTCATTAACATCTGTCCACAGTGGGGACATGAACAATACCCAGAGTGAACCCCACTATCAACAGTGGGCTTAGGTTAATAAAGACAGTGTACTACAGGGATCTACACATGCCCATGTCATAACAGTACAACTGACAGCAGCTAAATCTTGGAGCCGCAGCCCATCCGTCCATCAGCCGCCGCCGCCACAATGGATAAGGAACGTGTGGTATTCGCACACGGCGAGGTACTGCTCTGCCGCAAGGAAGCGTAAACTTGCGTTTGTAGGAAAACAGACGCACCTTGAGACCACAGTGGTGAGCACAATAAAGCAGACACACAGACTTAAATAGCACACGGTTTCTCCTCGAGGCCAGACCCAAAGTGCAAGTAAAGAGTAAAACAACAGATTACAGGAAGTAGAGAGGGAGAGCTTCCTCAGAGGAGAGGGACCGAGATGGAAGCAAGCGGAAGGAGGGGGAAGGAGACAAAAAGGCCTCAAAACTGCGCACTAATTTGTGAATGCTGAGCTCTACAAGTATGTACCAATAACAAAATTTTAGAAACACAGGCTCATCAAATGCAGCGCGCCCACCGCAGGAATGCAAGATGCTTGGACAGGAGGCGCAGGCAGTGGGCTGAGTATTCCCCTAAATCTGCAACCATCTTTAAAAGTAAAATCTATTGATGGTTCTCCACTTTCTGCACGCACGGGTTGCTGAGGGCACGGCAAAGCCCAATGGCCTGTCAGAAACCTGAGGGAGTTCCTGAGGGGTTGTTGTCATTTAGGGTCTTCTTGTTGTTGTTGTTTGTATTTTAGTACAGAGTCTACAGGGTCTCCCTACACAGATCGGACTCAGTCATCCACCTGTGCTCAGCCTCCCAAGAGCTGGGATTACAGGTGTGTCGTGGCCCAGGGTGGGGCTAGCGCAGCATGGGGGAGGGATCAAACCCTGACCACAGCGGCTGCCTAAGCAGGCACTTTAATTCGCTGAGCTATTTGGCCTGCCGTTTTTTTTTTTTTTTTCTTTCTTTTTTTTTTTGAGATAAGATCTCACTACATAGCCCAGGCTGGCCTTGACTCACAGCAACCCTCCTGCCTCAGCCTCCCAGGTGCTGAGATTACCCGTGTAGCCACCACACCCAGTTTGGAAACTTGAGTTTAAAGCAGCAGCGTCAGGGCACAGTGACGCCTCCCACGTGGCCTGCCCTGGCATCCCCAGCAAAGGACAGAGGGGTTGCCCCGTGCTGGGCCATCTGTAGCTGCAGTCCCCACAGCCTCCCCGGCCTGCAAGGCCAATCCGGACCCACTCGGCGTTCGCTCTTGCAGGTGCACAGCGCATCTCCTCCCAGCCTGCCCAAGAGGAAGCACTCTTCAGAGAGTGAGCCAGGCCAGACGTGGTGGCATGCGCGCACAATCCCAGCACTAGGGAGGCTGAGGCAGGCGGATATGCAAATTTACAGCCAGCCTGGGCTACATAGCAACCAGGGCCAGGGGCCAGGCAGGAAGGCTGGGGCTCCGGCTCAGTGGTGCCCTGCACCCCCACAGCCCGCTGCACCCCAATTCCAGCCTGTCCCATGAATCCCTCTGGGCGTCCTGTCTGTTCATGCCCAAGCTGCCACCTACACTGACAAGGACTATCTTCGGAAAGACCTTGTCAAGAACAGGACTGGGGATGACACCACCCTCGGCCTGTGCCACAGAGACGTAGGCACCTCCGGGGCAGGCGCTACAGGAAAGTAGGAGCTTGCCCACGAGCGGCAGGATTGCTCAGTTTTTCCCTAAATTTAACTCCTACTTACAAATGTCAGTTAGTTTTTGAACTCATTGGCTGGGCACATGCATTTGTTCAGAGAATGGAAAGGAACTCACAAGTGCCAAAGGAGCCGCGGGTGGCAGGCAGGTATGGCCGCGCACACGTGCGATCCCAGCACTGCAGGAGGCTGAGGCAGGAGGATCCCGGTGCTGAGCCCAGCCTCGGAAACCCAGTGGCTCAGGGAGTCGCTATCTTAGGAGTGTGAGGGCTAAGGCCACAGGTTCATTCCGGTACCACATGGACACACACATGAAAGACTCAGGAATTCAGCAGGAAGCACGACCGGCTCCACACCAGGAGCCACGGGCACGGAAAGGGCACTGGCTGCCCCGGGGGACTCTGCTCCGTCACTCGCCGCAGAAGGCACAGAGATTAAGGGGACAGCATGGTGGGGAGCAGTGCGGGTTGCATGTCAGGCTGCTGAGCCCTTGTGGTCGCCGCTTTAAGGCAGCATTCTGGGTCTCTGAGGCCTAATCTCTGCGGTTACCAAGAGCGACCACAAACAAACAGGCTGAGCCCCGCCCGCACCTGGCTGCGTGGGCACAGGAGTCCGGGTCCACTAGAGCCAGGCAGGAGGGGCCTTCTGCACCAGCCCTGCCCTGCCCGGGCATGGGCACAAGTGTGTTCGTGTATGTGCCAGCGATTGTGTTTGTGTGCGTGAGCACTGGGAATGCACATGCCTCTCTGTGTGTGTGTGCAGGTGCCTTGGCCGTGTGTCTGGTTAGAGTTGTGAGTCTGC